GCGACGCCGGCGCCGCCGCCGGCCGCCGCGCCGCCGCGGGCTTCCGCCCGCCGGACCCGGCGCCCTCGACGCGGCGCTGCTTCGACGACGGCTTGCGCGACGCGCCGGGCGCCGGCGCGCCGCCGGCGCCGCGCCGGCGCTTGCGCTCCCGCGGTTGCGCGGCGTGGAAGACGAGGCCGTCGTCGAAGTCCATGGGGAGCCGGTGTGTTTTGCCCAGCTTTTAAAGGACCATTTCAAACCCTTGTCTTTTTTGGCCGCGGCCTGCGACGCCTCCTGCGATGCTTGCCGTGCTCGCTCGCCCGTGCGTGCTACCCGTCGTCGGCGGGGAACGGCGGCGTTGTTGCACCGAGCAGTCGCCATGTTCAGCGCTCGAGGGTCGTAGGTCCCTCGGCGCCGGACGCGCGCGCGCCGGCGACCCGCGCGGCATCGCCACAGTCCAAGCCGGCAAGCGCGCGCACGCGGACTCACTCGGGAGAGCCCAGACCAGCAAGCGAGGCTCCGTGGCGACCGACCTGCCCTCACCGCGCAGTGGCGTCCGCCCGAGTGGCGTTTGAGCGACCCCCGGCGACGGCCTCCGAGGCGCCTCGATCCCGGCAGGCGTCGGCTCGCGAGCCTCGCTGTACGCCACCGCCACCGTCGCGCCACCGCCCACCGACCACCATGTCCGACGACGAGATGAGCGACGACGAGCGCCGCGGCCGCCGCGAGCGTAGCCCGTCCCCCGCCGCGCGGTCCAAGTCGCCGTCCAAGTCCAAGTCGCCGGAGAAGTCGCCGCCCCGGTCCCCCGGCGGCGAGCCGCCGGCGCGCGTCACGCAGACCCTCGAGGTCGACAAGGACGACGCGGCCTTCATCCTCGGCCGCGGCGGGTCCACGAAGCGCAAGATCGCGCGCGTCTCCGGCACGGAGATCGAGCTCGACGAGCACACGCTCCAGATCACGCTCAACGGCAGCGCCGAGCAGTGCGCGCGCGCCAAGGACTACATCGACTTCGTCCGCCAGCAGCGCGTCGGGCCCGTCACCATCAACATGGACACGCCGCGCGACGACTTCAGCGCCTACATCGTCCCGGGCGACTGCATCGGCTTCGTCATGGGCCGCAACGGCCAGACGCTCCGGTCCATGGAGGAGGAGTGGGGCGTGCTCATGTTCTTCGCCAAGACCGACGACGCGCAGCGCGAGGGCGGCCGCGACGGCGACGAGAGCCTCTGCATCTTCGGGCCCCTCGCGCGTCCGCCGCGCCGCGTTCGCCGCCGCCGCGCGCGACCCCCGCGTTCCCAGGCCGCGCGCCGCGGCGCCGAGGTCAAGGTCATGTCCGCCGTCGAGCACAAGCACCCGGGCTACTGCGTGTCGTCCAAGGGCGACCTCCGGGAGCACGAGCGCGTGCAAGGTGCTCCGACCGCCGTCCGTTTCCACCACTTCGCCTCCTCCCGTTCGACGTGCGCGTCGCGGACGCGTTCCCGCGACTTCCACCACTTCGTCCCCCCGCGATCCCCTCCGACGTGATCGTCGCGGACGCGTTCCCGCGACGTCCACCACTTCGTCCCCCCGTCCGACGCGACCGGCCTCACGCCGCGCCGCGGCCGGCCTCCTCGGACCTCGCGCACAGAGGGGGCGTCCGCGTCGCGCCCGGCCTCGGCGACCTCCGGTCCTGGACGGTCTCCCCCCGCGGGCCTCTCCGCGCCTCGACGGACGCCCGAGGACGACTCTCGCCACGCGCCGCGGCCGCCCCTCGAGCTCCCGACTCCGTGCAGGCGACACGGACGTCGACGGCTGGGGCTGCGACACCTAC